ACACACACACACACACACACACACACACACACACACACACACACACAGACAGAATCATCGAATCCCTACAGTGTGGAAGCAGGCCTTTTGGCCCATCAACTCCACACCGCTTCTCCAAAGAGAATCCCACCCAGACCCATTCCCCCTACCCTGTCTTTGAAACCCCGCATTTCCTCTGGCTAAACCACCTAGCCTGCACATCCCTGGACACTATGGTGATTTAGCATGGCCAATCCACCTCACTGCACATCTTGGACTGTGGCAGGAAACCCACACAGACACTGGGAGAACATGCAAACTCCACACAGATAGTCACCCGAGGTTGTAATTAAACCTAGGTCCCTGATGCTGTGAGGTAGCAGTGCTAAGTGCTGTACCGCCCCATTCAGTGTCTCATGTGACACCAAACTGAGCTTTACTTGTTGATTGATAGTAGTGCCCGCTGGAATTCAAATCTTGGCAACTTTCAGTCCCATTTATACAGTGACACAGCAGTGTCATGTCGCCAGCTTGTGAACATTGCAAGGACAAGTCTTACCTGCTTTTCTGACATGACATACAGGTATTGACGATCCACAGATAATGACATGTCTCGCAGAATGGCACCACTCTCCACAACCTGAATGGTTTCATACTGCAGTGCACCATGGGAAGGCCCGTCTACTCGAATCTATGAACAACAGAGAGACAGAGAGATCACTTACTGAACATCTTTCAACTTTTAAAGCTCCTATATTATTCATCATCTACATTTCCTCAAGCTTGTTCTTAGTAGACATTTATGTGGTCTCAAGTAGAGTGTTCCCAGTGTTCAGCAGGATTGCTTTTGTTTAGTATCACCCAATTTCCTCTGGATTCTATAGAAAGAAAAACAAGTTTGATGGAATCTAGGCATTTCCTGGCACCTTTGGGAATTGAAGAATAAATTTTGATGCCAAGTTCCAGACAACCTTTCTGACGATGCACTTCCAGTAAAAGTCACTGAATAATGTCACATGGTGGCCATGTTGAGGCTACATTGATCCCTAACTGAGACCAGTTAATGCTACACTAACTAGGGACACATAAGATTCAGGTACACACATGGTGGTGGCACTGAATCGCTATTCCTTTAGTAAACACTTTTAGTCGAGTGTTCCATTGCCATCCTCATTGAAAAACACCTCTAATTTGGAAAAATACATTCTTTAGATGCTGTGATCTGTTCAGAATTATTGACGTGTCCCACAAATGGGGAAGGATGTGACAGCTCAACAAGACAGAGGCTTGAACTGAAGTCAAATGCAGCCTCCAGGCTTGGGGAACATCAAGTTTGAGGCACCAATGCTTCATCCAGCATGCCTTCTACCAGATATGATATCATACAGCAATGTTGATTGCCATATCAGAACATACAAACTCTCAGCAATATTTTCAATAAAGCACAAAATTCTTAATTCGCTTGCAATTGCTTTGAATTCCCTTGATTCATAAAGTTTTCCAGGACATTATGATGTTAGAATACATGTACCCTAAATATTCTGTGATGATAGATCCAACATTGAGATTAACAAGTAAATTCAACATTTCAATTTGCTTCTTCCCACAATTGGCAACAGCCTAATCTCTGAATCAGAAGATTGAGGATTCAGGTACCAGTAAACAGACTTGAACATAAAAGTCTCGGTTGACCACCCCCCACCCCCCCAGGGGAATTCTAACAGAGCACTGGACAATGGGAAGCGCCATCTTTCCAATAAGGCATTAAACCAAGATCCTGCTTGTCTCCGCAAGTAGGCATAAGTGATTCCATCATATTATTTCAAAGAAGACATTAGGGAAATTTCCCTGGTGCCTTGGCCAATATTTAGCCCTCAATGAACATTACCAACAAAAAGCAGGCCATCTGGTTATTATTACACTGACCTGTGTAGGATTCCACCTCCCCACCCTCCCCAAGGTTACCATGAAAGAATCTCCTTCTCAACCTTTCCCCTCACCTGAGGCATGGTGGCCTTCAGGATAAACCAATGCCAGTCATCACTAACTAGACAGCAGCCCATGATTTGCGAAGCCTATTTAATTTCAACAATAAGTACATTTGCAAAGTTTAATTGTAAAACATTCTCAACATCCTGAGGTGATGAACAGTGCTGTCCAAATTCTTTCTTTTCTTCCCTGCCATGTGAGAGCACGATATTACAATTCTTATCTGAAAGTGCAGTTTGTCATTCTCTAACCAGGAACAGCATGGTATCAGAAAAAGTTACCCCTTCATGCCCACTAAGCCTTTCTTCAGTTTGGAGAACCTTGAGCATAATAACAATCCATGAGCTTTCATTCACTCTCGGTAATGTTCCCATTCCTGCCGTACAAAATGCAAGCTATTTATTTATGTAAACTATGATGATCACACTTGTAGGGATACAGCTCATGCTAATTATGGCTGTTATGTACCAACAGGGGTAGGTTTATGTACTTAAGAAGAAAATGAAACATTTCGCAATCCAACATGTTTAGCTGAACGTCAGGTAATTAGTGAAGCGGGAAATTACTGTATTCAATGTCTCTCTTCCCCAGGTCTGTGACTGTTTCCTACTGAGAGGTGAGAATTAAAGGAATCAGTTACCAATAGCACTTGGCACGTTTTTCATTTACTGGCATATGCCCCACTGTGACCACAATCTTCCTAATGCCACTTGCTCCAGATTATGGAGCCAGGAGTTACCGGTGATTGACACATCATCACAGTTGGGTGGCAAATACACTTGTGTGTGAAAGATCCATTTCGCTCAGAAATAAAGTTTTAATCCCTTTTCAGGGGCTGATCTGATCAACCTTTGGCCCCTCAACCAACACCACCAAAACCAGATTCGTATCAATTATTTTTTTCCACTGCTGCTTGTGGCATCTTGCTGTGCACACATGGCTGTTATATTTACCCCCCAAAGCACATACGAGGACGCTCCACCAGCAAATCCTTTGTTGTCAAATACTTTGGAATATTCAGGAAATATTAAAATGGTTTTATAAATGCAAGATCTCGCTTTTCTCTTCTGTTTTACTTTTATGTTTGTTAAAATGCACTGAATCGTTTTGATCGTGTATTCCTGTTGTCTGGAATTGACTCAATATGCACATGCATGTCATTAAAGGGGTCCTACACAATATTTAAACAGGCCTATCATTCTCATTGCCCAAATGTGAAAAGACAAAAGCATTTCCCTTTCATTCCTAATATATTGAACTTGAATGGTCCAAAAAAAAAAATTCAATTAACATTTTCCCATTCGTTTCCATTAGATGGAATCCCAATGGGTTAAATCTCTCGTAGTTCACATCTATTATACAAAGTCCCAGTGGAGTAAAATCTTCCTTCTCTCTCTCTCTCTATGCGAAATCCCAATGGATCAAATAGTTGTTGCAACACTAACAAATAACTTCCTCAGTGTTTTGGCAGCTTGAGAAACATGCTAGGTTTTAATTAAATATGGCCTTTAGTGGTGGTTGATTGGGTCGCATCTTCTCCTGTGAGTCAGAAGGCTGTGGGAGTTGATGGCTCTCTCCAGTTAACGCTGGGACTGTCTGAAGGGTCAGTTTTCCAATGAAACATTAAACCATCTCTCAGTGAGGACTACGAACAACATGGAGATCCTTGAAAATGTGGACCATATTCCGTATCTTGGGAATCTCCTTTTTCAACAAAGATAGACATAGACTGCTAAATTCATCATCACCTCCTCAGCCTTTGACTAACTGAGGAGAAGGAGCATTTGAAGACTGCAATCTCAAAACAAACTCTAAGGGAAGGGTTTACTGGGCAGCAGTGATCCCATACTGCTGAATGCTTCAGAAACCTGGACGACACAAAACAGCTGCCTCAAAATGAACCACCAGCAGTGCCTTCATGAAAAAGGCATTCCAACAGCACTATCCAATCCTGAGCCAAAGTACCCAGTACCCCTTTGAGGTGATAATCTCTTGAAGCGGGGTGGTGATGGCCCAGTGGTATGGGGAGGCGATGGCCTAGTGGTATTATCACTGGACTGTAAATCCAGAGACCCAGATAATGTTCTGGGGACCCGGGTTTGAATCCCACCATGGCAGATGGTGGAATTTGAATTCAATAAAATATCTGGAATTAAGAATCTAACGATGACTATGAATCCATTGTCGATTGTCGGGAAAAACCCATCTGGTTCACTAATGTCCTTTAGGGAAGGAAACTGCCATCCTTACCTGGTCTGGGCCTACATGTGACTCCAGACCCACAGCAATGTAGCTGACTCTTAACTGCCCTCTGGGCAATTAGGGATGGGCAATGAATGCTGCCTGGTCAGTGACGCTCTCATGTTAATGAATAAAGGGGGGAAAAAAAAGTCAGCATCATTGGCCAGGATCCATCATTTGTGTGCCTTGCACTAAACACTTGAAGCAACTACCCAACCTGAAACTCAGTCTCCACTGGAGACGCTCAGGAAAGCAGGAGAAATACTTCTGGAATGCTGTCAAAGTATTTGCAAAGTGGTCAAACATCCCCACCAACCCCTGGGCGACTCTGGTTTGTGACCAACCAAAATGGAGCAAGTTTATTTGAGATGACAGCGGACTGTTGAGACTTCATCGGAACGCACACAGATGAAATTAAGGCGTTGGAGAGAGCACAAAAACACTTCAAACAACTTATCCACCCAACCCTTCAAGTACCACAAGCCCTGCATGTGGCAAGAGTCTGCAAATCTCATGTGGTCATTATCAGCCATTTCCAAACCCATCAGACCAAGAGGAAGCAAAACCTTCTCAATCCCAACTATCTCAAAATGAAAAAAACACCATGCCTACCCTCTCAAGTGGATATAAAACATCCCAAAGCAGTATTTGTAAAAAAGAGTAGGAGATTACTCGTTGGCGTCTCAGCTAATATTTAGACTAAACTAAAATTGCAAAAAAACACAATCATGAACCAAAACCGAAAGAGCTGCAGATGTTGTAAATCAGGAACAAAAACAGAAGTTGCTGGAAAAACTCAGCAGGTCTGGCAGCATCTGTGAAGAAAAATATCAGAGTTAACGTTTTGGGTCCAGTGGCCTTTCCTCAGAAGTTCTCAGGCAGTTCTCAGGAAGGGTCACTCTGATTTTTTTTCTTCACAGATGCTGCCAGACCTGCTGAGTTTTTCCAGCAACTTCTGTTTTTGTACAATCATGAACCAAAACATTTCGCGGCAGTAAGTCAACTTTTCTGGGTGGGCTGAATGGCCTCCTTCTGCACCATAACAATTCTGTGATTTTTTTTTACTTTGAAACAGCTCTGATCATTATGTATCCTTTTATCATTTTGATATTGCTCCAAAAGGGTAACTATTCCCTCTCTAACTCTAACTCATATCAATTGATTTAGCTTTCCATTAACTCCCTTACCAACCTCACATTCTAGTGGTGTAACAAACTCAAGGAGGTATTCCACAATGGTTGTGACCTCTCCTATTCTGCCTGAATATTTTCAAGTAAGATTGTGTATTCTCTGATCCTCTTTCATCCAAACAGTGCTCCATCAGTGCTAACCAACACCCACCTTCAGCACCCCCAATTCTAATGCTTATTCAGAGTACTTTCTGTATGCATTAGGTTGACCTGGCCTCCAGCAACAGAAAGGAGTGGTACAGAGTACAAACAATAAAAAAGAAAATCAGAATACACAATGGAGTGCAAGGCAATGCAAATGAATATACTGGAAGATAGATGACAGCAAACAAATACAATAGGGCTCAGGGAGGTCAAAACTGAACAGGAGAATACAGCAGAAGAAAGAAGACATCATGGAAATACAAGGGATCTCAAGCGGAAACTGCAGAGGTTGAAAACGTGATGTTACTCTTCCCCTGTTTGACCTTCACATCAATATTTGGTAGCAGTTGTGCCTCAGGCCAGGAAGTAGAAAAGGGTGACTGGAAGGGAGGGAGGGTACAGATGTTCGGTGAACATTCAGAAAAGACCAGACTGTCTCTAACATTTCCTGGGTACTCAAAGACCATTTCAAAACAAACAAGTCTCATATTTCTTGCTAGGGTGAATAAAGTAAGTAGAAATTACTCTGCAGTGCCCAAACCTTGAATGGCAACTGATAAACTGAAGATGGATACAGAAGCAGAGGATCAAAACCACCTCACGATAAATGACTGAATTACAGCAGAAACCTCGCTGTGCGAGCGTGGGGTGAGCAGATTCAGTGCGAACCTGTGCTTGCACCTCATCAAGCTCAGACAAGTGTGTCTCAGTTTCTCCCTTTACAGCTGAAGGATGGGACAGGAAGTAAATCTTTTTAGTGTTTTTTTTTAAAGAATTTTCTACTGATTCTCTTTTCTTCTTCAACAGGAAGGACTTGTGTATACATAGGACATTATTCAACACAGGGCCCAAGCGTTTTAACATCATTCTTTTGAAGTACATACTTTTGAAATATTGCTGTATAAGAGATGCAGCATCCAAATTATGAGCACAGCAACAGGATTATGCCCAGGTATTTATTTAAAGTGCTGGTTATGAACAAATATTGCCAATGGGGGAAGGGGTAACATTCTAACCATGGGCCAGCAGGTTAAAGTCTCATCTGTGCCAGAGGTGTGTCATAACATGCATGAAGATGATAATTATAAACATTGACCAAGTAATTGAAGAGAATTCCATTACAATTCTTATTCACATTACCATGGGATCCTTTACAGAGAGGATGTTTCTCGTCCTTAAAGGCAGCACTTACAACCTCAATACTGCATCAGACAGTCAGCCTAAATCTCAGGAGTTGTATCTGAACCCAAACCCCTGACTCCGACGTGAGAGTGTGACCCACAGCAGACACCACAAATGTGTGTTGGCTCTCTAGTTTAGTTACTCAACATTCTTAGCTCACCTTAAGAGGTCATTAATAAAATAGGGAACTCCATTACATCCGAGACCATCAATGCTTTCACTCGTGGCATGTAGATAGTGGGGAGAACAAGGAACTCACTATTGGCTTTGCTGATCGGCCATGATCATAACAATTGGTGGAACAAGCTCAAAGAGCTAAATGGCCTACTCCTGCTTCTGTTTTCTGTGGTTCTACGTGTCTCCAAATAGTGCCCCAGGCCAGGAATTTCATCCAAACTTTCCTTTGCATCATTCTGGAGCACTGATACCAATTATTTGACTAATCCTGCTTCCAGGTCTAACAGTAGCAAACTAGGCACAGATTTAGAATCAAACTCAAATCCTTCTTGGCCACTGTGTCTCACCAACATATCATTGATTCAGTTCTCCCTTTTCATCGTTTAAAGGCTGGTCCATTAAACCTGCTGCATACTCATGGTGGCTAAAGCATTGTAACGAGACATGTCTTCCCTCTAGCCCACGGCACCTCCCACATGTGTACTCTCCTGGGAGAGGTAATAATTTAAACACAAACTTAAAAACCTTCAGAATTCAGGTTTCAGAAACCCCACATTTGCCTCCACAGGATTAGCAGTCTGTGTTCAATTAATTCACCCAAATATAAACCTCCATGCAAAAAAGAAACTCTCTTACAACTGGAAAAGCATGTTTACATCCTTTATTGGTCAGCAGGACAAAGCCACGAGGGAACGAGGCAATGATGTGTCTCAGAATCCTGAATTCAGAAGCTGAGTCAGCACCGAGACCCACAGACGGGCTCATACAAGCAGCTCTCACTCGAAGAATCCAACGCAAGAAATAATACAATGTGCAGCTGTTCTACGCTCCTTGGAAATGTTCTCAAGTTGCTTTTCAAAGGAACAGCCTCCGGGAAGCCAGCCTAATGGCCCATTTACTGCCCCATTGTTCAGTGATATCGAGCCCCAGCTACTCTATTTTGTATTTCATTAGATCAGTTCTCTTCCCAGCACCATGCAAAACAAAAGGGGTACGGATCCTCAGTTTCTCCCCTCCTGTGTACGATTGGGGCCCTATCCTCAGGTGACCCTGCAGAGCAAACAAACAGAAGCTCTAAGGAAAAGCTTATAAGCAGTGTCTCTTTATTGTTAGCACTGTAAAATCAACTGTTACCAGCTGATGTTTGGGGAGCACCACCACCAATCCTCATTTCTAATTATTTTTAAGCAAACTGTTCGGAACGTATTATGACATACCTCAGGGTTTGGACCGTGTCTTCTGGCCCAGAGAGAGGGACACTACTACTATGCTATAAGACACTCCAATCTACTTAGTTAGACTGGATGTAAGTGCTGATTTGGTTAATGGTGGTAGAGAATGTGCCAGTGACGAGCCTGAACAAGAAGAGGCACTTGTCTTAACAAGATGGAGTTTCTTGCATGATAGCAACAGGTACAGCTTAAATTGGCAGGTTAAACATTATGACTATCAGAAATCAGTGATGACACAACTGACTCCAGCAGAATCTCAAGTTTGCACTCCTTTTGTCCCCATCCAAGATTCTATCACATCATCAGATTAGGTAGCGCTTGCTGTAGTTTCCAATATTAACTCTTTCAGAACCATTACCTTATACAACAGTTCAAGGTCTCTGGGTTTCTTGAATACTATCCGCCTGCAGGTCTCTGATGTTCACCCCTCTTTCTTTGTTTAAGACATGACCTAAAACCTATCCTCTTTGAACAAGCTATTAGCCATTTGCTTATGTGACTGAGACTCAAATTTTTCTTACAATGCTCCCAACCTTGTGTAAAATTAAAAGCTTATGTACCTGTCTGATTCTGAAAAATGTTGCATTCAATGAAGATGTACTAAACTAAAATAGGACTTTGTACATGCATTATTGGATAAGAGAGCCTAAATTTTCATCTTACTTTGTCCAAACCTAATTTAATTTGCAGACTTTAATGCCACTAAACTAAAATCTACAGTTTAAATTTTGTAGTTGTCAGCCTTAAGCAGGGTTTTTTTTTCAAGAGTTCCAGTGAAAGAGCAGCTTAATTAAGAACCAACTGATACTGGCTCCTTAGTGAAGCAAAAGCCTTTTCTGTTTGGAGCATTTACAAACAGCCAATTTAGCTCACGATTGTAACTTACAAGACTGCTTCAGGGAGTTCAGGGGAGGAAGAAGAAGTGTGTTTTCTTGGTTGTTTCAGCCTCAAAGAACTGATTCTTGTCCTGCTACAGGAGAAGAAGTTGGTTAATTGGCGAATATCTGGTAACTGGTTAAGGTTTCTTCTATTCCTTAAATTAGTATATTTTTAAAAAGAGGTAAGTGGAAGATAATATAGGTGAGTTGGAAACGATAAAAGGTGTGATGCCAGAATCCTACCCATAGTGAGACCAGTGGCAGTGTGATGTCAAAAATCACAATACAAAATGAATGCAGGGAAAACAGCAGATTGGTGAGTAGGATTGCTGAGCATTTTACTCTTTAAACTAAAAGTACGGTCTTTAGTTTGTGTTCAACTTTCTAGTCTGTTTTTCTCCCTTCTCAAAATTAGTTAATTAAATCTCAGATTTATACTGGTGTAAAATTATTCATCACAATAAGGTGTAAAGATTGGATGATTCTTCAAGTGTAAAGACCAACAATACTAGAGTAATTGATTAATTTATTGGAATGCAATGGTGACAGCAGAAGAGGTGATATGTCGCTGCAGCAGCATCTGGAAGCTCATGGACACCATGGTTATCCAACGTGAACATGTCTATAGGAACTGTTTGCAGATCAAGGAACTTTGGGTCTGAATTGAGGAGTTGGAGTCTGAAATGTACCACAGCAGGGAAGAGGAAAGTTAACTGGACAATTTGCTCCAGGAAGTGGTCACACCTCATAGATTGGGCAATTCTAACTTGGTGTGAGATCAAGGACAGAAGGATATGACTGCAGGTGAGGCAGGTATGGGTTCCTAGAGGTATCATTCAAGGAGCCTCAGCTCTTGCAACTGTCCAATAGTTAGGAGGTTCTTGAAAGTCATATGGATGAGAGCAGGATCTACAGAAAGGATAAGCAAATTGATCATGGTACTGGGAGCCATTCCAGTGAGGGGGAAAATAGGAATGTGATAGCAGATGGGAACAGTATAAATCTTGGGATAGATACCCTTCTCTGAATCTGTGAACCAAAGTTCCTAAAGTTGTTGAGGGTCAGGGACCTTTCCTCAGCACTGGAGAGGAACTTGAAGAGGGAGGGGATGGATGTAGTAATTGCCATCCACATTGGTGTTAACAACATTGATATGACTAGGAAGGAGGATCTGCTGAAGAATTTGAAATTTGGGATTAGTAACTGAGTCATAGGCAAACTGGCATCAGGTAAATAAAGTCAAGGAATTAAATTTGTGGCTCAAGGTTTGATGTGGCGAGAATGGCTTTAGTTCCAGGGATACTGGAGTAGAAAGGAGCTTGGACTTGAACCACATTGGGATCAGTGGCCAGCTGAACTGAATGACTAAGGCTATAGAGAGTGTTTTAAAATAAGCTAAGGCAGGGAAGTTTCAGAGAGAGGATATGTCGGCTTACAAAGCAAAACAATCTGATGGCATTGCAGGCCGGCTGTTAACGGGAAAGAGGCAAGAAGGGATAAAGTGTACAAGCATAAAAAATAGCAGCAAATAGGGTCAAAAGAGGGAGAAATAATAACAATGTAAAATTAATGGCTCATTACTTAAAGGGATGTGAAACTTGAAACAGAATAAATGAAATAATGGCAAAAATACAGGTTAATGAGTATGAATTTATAGCTATTATGGGGATGATTACAAGGAAATTAAAGCTGGAAATTAAATATGTACAGGTATGTTAACAGTCAAAAGGACAGACAGGAAGGAAAGGGTGGTGGGGTAGCTCTATTAGTTCATGTCAAATAAGCATGATAGCAAGAATTGATCTTGGATTGGAAGATATAGAATCCGTCAGGGTGGAGGTAAGAAATAACAACATTGGTGGGAGTAATCTATAGGTTCCCTAATACTGGTTATACTATAGGAGACAGAATACATCAGGAGACAATGAAAACATGTAGAAAAGGCAATACATTTGCATGGGTGACTTTAGATTTCTTGTAGTTTGAAAATCAAACTGCAGTGGTAGCCTGGAGAATCCATACATGCGGAGTATTTGACACAATTTCCTACAACAACACTGTGGAATCAGGTACTTTTGATCTGGTAATGTGTAATGAGGCAGGTTAAATAAATGATCTAAATGAAAGATCTCCTAAGAAACACTGACCATAACATACTAGAATTTAGCACTGAGTTTGAGAGTCAGAAACCTGGGTCAAAAACAGCTGTGCTGGACTTATATAAGGGTAATTACAGGAGTGCCAGACATCCTTTTCAGTCTGAGAGCTGGCTGCGAGGGAGCTGCATCAGTGTCACGGACTCTCCACATGTAAATAAAGGGTGACAGGATACCAGCCTCTACGGAATTATTTTAGGCTGTGCCTGTCCTCACTGGAATTTAGAAGAATGGAGGAGACCTTATTGAAACATGTAAGTTTCTTATGGAGCTTGGCAGCATGAATGCTGATTGTTTCCCCTTGTGAAACAGCCTAGGACCAGAGGGTATAATCTCAGAGTAAGCCGTCATCCGTTTAAGACAGAGATGTGGAGGAATTCCTTCTCTCAGGAGGTAGTGAATCTGTAGAATTCCATACTGCAGAAGGTTGTCTTGAATATACAGGTTCAAGGCTTATACAGACAGAGTTTTCATCAGTGAGGATGGTTATGGCGAAAAGGCAGAAAAGTACAGATGGGGATTATCAGATCAGCCATGATCTCATTGACTGCTACAGCTGACCTGATGGGCCGAATGGCCCACTTCTGTTCCTGTGTCTTATAGCCTAATAATTTTCCCAAACAAGAACTGTAATAACCATGCATTATGCTCCTGTAATTTCTGAATTAAAAACAATTTTATATATTAATTAAACGCAGAACACATGAATAAATAACAATGCTCAGAACATTGTTATCTCAACTCACCTACAAAATGGGGAAAACCTTGTTAGTGAAACTGGCATTTAAAGTAGGAGGAGATTGAATATTAATTGCTGGGCTGTAGAAGACTCTTTACTCTCTGACTCAATAGTGAACTGAGAAGCAAACTAAATATTTGTGCATTTCTTACCGTGTTAGGTAATACAGAATTCTACCTAATCTGTGAAATACAGTTTGACAACTATTGTGGGCAACTGTTTTGGAAACATTTTCATATATTGGCATGGCGTACCATCATATATACAGTATGTTACACATAATATATTGCCCTATACAGTATTGGATAAATCATAAATGCTTGAATAACATAGTATGCATTTGAGAGAAAATTTATATGAAAAATGCATACTGGAAAATGAGAAATAGATTTAAACAACATTGATCAGGCAAAACATACCAAATGTGCTACAACAAAAATTGAGGTTGTGGCTGGCAGCATTATTTGAAAAAATTGCCTAATATGAAAATCTCTCAAAAACATGCTATTATCAGAAAATATTGTAGTTGTGAGATACCTGTATATATGCAACTTGTTGCAAACCAAGCATCAAAATGACTCCTGACAAAATTCTTTAGCTTATCTATTCACTTCCACAACATTGATGGCTTTTTTTTCAGAATTCCTACAGTGTGGAAACAGGCCCTTCAGCCCAACAGGTCCACACCGACCCTCAGAGCATCCCACCCAGACCCATTCCCCAAACCCACCTGATGTACACATCCCTGAACACTATGGGCAATTTAGCGTGGCCAATCCACCTAACCTGGACATCTTTGGACTGTGGGGGGAAACTGGAGCACCCGGAGGAAACCCCCACAGACACGGGGAGAATCTGCAAACTCCACACAGACAGTCACCTGAGGCTGGAATCAAACCTGGATCCCGAGTGCTGTGAGGCAGCAGTGCTAACCACTGAGCCTCCGTGCCACTCCTGGCTCTGGCACCACTTAGCATTCCATTTTTACAGTTGGTTCTGCTATAATGCGTGTTTCATTAAGGCAAATTGGCTGTAACGCTGTTTG